AGCGAAGGGGTTAACGTTGCCGTAGCGAAGGGGTTAACGCTGCCGTAGCAAAGGGGTTAACGCTGCTTTAATTTATGAAGGATTTGAATAGTCCTACTCATGGTAGGGCCAAGTGATGCTGCTCTTTCACCATTAGATGTTCACCGGTCCAATGACAGAACTTTTGCAACATGAGAGTCTCTCCTGAAGGATTTTCTTTGCCATCTGACGATAGGCATGGTTGTAGAGGCAGTAGATGAACACGTTGCAAGCGCTGTTCGCAACAATCAGCCATATGGTCAGGAACTCCAGCCAGTGTGGACTACTCCAGCCGGCCAAACCTTCCACACTACGTAGCACTGCAAACGGTGTGTAGCAAGCGGCAAACGTCAAGGTGACCATCAGAAATGCCTTCAGAGCTTTGTTGTCTCGGACGTTGTGCCCCTCATTGTTTTGATTATTTCGCCGCTCGTGTCGGCGGCTGATCCGAATAATGCGGTAGTAAATGCAGATCATGACTAGCATTGGTATGGTGCTGAACGAAACAGTGGTTATTGTGTGTATGACATCAGTGATGTCAATTAAGCACAAGGCAGAGGCAGGGTGATACTTGGATTCTGCTCCTAAGCTATATTCAGTAATCGAGGTTGAAATGGTTACAGTCATCAGCGCGAGTACAAGAATGATTGCCCAGCCCAAGAATGATTGCCCTGTCTGGTGCACTAAATGTGCACCAGACAGGATACTTGTAGGGCCTTGTAACGGCGAGGTACCGGTCAACATTCAGTCAAAGGATGGTATATGTGGTCATGTTGCTGACCATCTCAATAGAGTGGGCAGCTATGGCACATCCAGTCATTCCAAATGGCCATCATCCAAGGCCGAAGTGACGGCATAGAGAATTGCCTGCAGACCGATGAGCAGGTCGAACATGGCCAATGTTGTCATGAGAACCTTGGTGCTGTCGGCCAAGTTGGTCACACGACACGTCACAGCGACGGAGAGGATATTGCCAGCAATGATCAGCATTGCCAGGACGATGACGAAACAAGTCCGCAGGGTGATGAAAAAAGGGGACAGGTGTAGAGAATCAGTCATTTCATCAGCCATCCTTGGATTGCAACACTGCCCTCACAGGGACTAGACAGAAATCAACAAGTCCATGTAATTTCTTGAAGTTACTGTCCTCAGTTCTTTTGGCTGTAGACTGTGTTGAAAATGTGTAAGTTGTTTCAACACATTCTTCAAATTTCAAGATGAGGCCCCACCCTTCACCAAGTACACCACTAAGGTATGACAAGTGGTGCTACTTGGCACTCAATTGATACCTATCGATGTCCCTTGTTACCATGCGTAACTACAACATAAAAGCTTCCTATTCATTCAAACTACTGCTATTAGTCCACGGCCGAGGCAGGCAGACATTACAATCATACAATTTCCTAGACCACAATGATCAATTTACAGCCATATTTATCATCAAGTCCAATCTTAACAACGCCCAGGGTTCGAGAGCAGGTTCCTCTATTTTTTTCCCCCACAAGTGAGGATGTTATTAGCTGCACCCAAAACAGCACATGGACCGGTGTGACATACAGCCCTGTACGCAATATTAATTCGAGGACCAGTCTTGTAACTCTTTCAGCAACGACACACAGTTTTATTTCAGCAGTGACTCGTGCAGTAACACCAAAGTTTACTTTGAAAGAAACCTGCATCAACATGGATCCACAAGGCCACCTGTATCAAGTTTCATCTAATGGCAGTCCTCAGTAAGCAATAACGGCACTGTGCGTAGTTCTCATTTCACATTTTCCAAAAAAAATTGGCTGATATATTTTACTGACAGCCTATTAAAGTACTCTGAAAATAACAGCATACAAATGTTTGTTAGACTTTACTGATGTGAAAAGAGGGTTGAAAAATCCAAAATCTTATTGTGTTTTTGAGGGAAAGATTTTTTAATTTGAACTTCATAGCCTTTTATTAATTGACATCATTTATATTATCTCTAAACAGTAAGCAATAAAAAAACAAGGTTTGTCATAAGCTTTACAATAATACTTTGTGAGCATATAAAATGGTTCTTTAATTTACAAAGGCTGTAAGGGCTGATTTTTTTTATAGAGTTGTGGATGAGCTTAAATACTTCTTCACTGTCAATTTTTTTTTAACTTGAAAGTGTTACAAAATTGAGTTTGAAGTGCCCTCAACTCATTGCACAAAATGAGGCTAGATTACAGAAGTCTTGGCAAGTTGCTGTCGATGGCTTGAAACCTTTTGTTCAGTTGGAAATCTCAACATATCCACGCTTTGCATCGGTTATGTAACTTTTGTGGGATTTAGTTTTGTTTATGGTTTGGCCAGCTCCAAGTTCCTTTTTTTTTTTGGCCGTTAGATGTTCACTGGTTCAACAGCGGACATTTTGCAACACTGGAGCCTCCGGCAGATGATCTTCTTAGCCATCTGCCGGTAGGCCTGGTTGTAGAGACAGTAGATGAACACATTGCAAGCGCTGTTGGAGACCGCCACCCACATGGTCAGGAATTTGAGCCAGTGTGGGCTGGTCCAGACTGCAAAACCTTCCACGGTTTTCATGAGTGTGAAGGGCATGCAGCAAGTGGCAAATGTCATGGTGACCGCCAGGAACGTCTTCAGAGCCCTGTGATCCCGACCGTTGTTTCCGTCGTTGTTCGGATTGTCGCGCTGTTCATGCCGGCGGCTGATCCGAATGATGCGGAAGTAAATGTACACCATAACTAGTACCGGAATAATGTCAAAGGTGAGGAGTGCGGTCATGTTAGCTATGTTGGAATTGCTTCCCAAAAAGCACATAGCCGAGGCAGCGTAGTATAGAATAGATACACCAAAGCTTTGCGACAATATTGAGGTGCACGCTGACAGGGTTGATAAAATGAACACGAGAGTAACACTGCGCCGTTTGGTGCACCACACTGGAAACTTGTAAGGCCTGGTAATGGCAATGTAGCGGTCAAGGTTGAGACCGATGAGGGAAAACGTGGACAAGCAGAAAGCCGTGTTCAAACTGTAGGTGAATAAGGAGCATCCAGTCGTCCCGAACGGCCATCTGTCCAAGCCCGAAGCAAAGGCAGAGAGAAGCGACAACAGACCGACAAGCAGGTCGGAGGCAGCCAGCGCCATCATCAGAACCTTGGTGCTGTCGGCTAAGTGGGCCACGCGACGCGTCACAGCGATGGAGAGGCTATTTCCAGCAATGATCAGCATTGCTAGGATGAGGATGAAGCAAGTCCGCAGGGCAATTAGAGAAGGGGACAGGCCAAAAGAATCGGTCAGTACGTCAGCCATCGTTGAACTCTAACACACTGCCCTCAGAGACTAGCCAGAAGTCAACAAATCCTTGTTGTCTGATACCACATAGACCGTCAGATTCTGTGTCGTGATTTTGCTGTTGGTTTGGCAACGGCGTGGCATCATCAGAGCTGGCATTGAAATGACCAGTGAACCCGCACTGCATTTACCTCTGGTCATTAAGACCGTCAGTTAAGGTCACTCTGGTGACATCCAATATCAGTGATACCTCAGCTCATTTCTTACAATGATTAATACCGCACTTATGGTTCTCCATTAAAAATTTCAAGTGATGAGACGAACAGTTGTCCCCCATCCCCCACTACCAACTAGGGGTGATAAAGCAGTAATTCTGCTTTATTATCTTGCCATCCTGTCCTTGATTTCTCCAAGCTGTCACTTTGTACAAAATGTACTATTCATATCGTGTGTTTTTGCCTCCATTTGACCCCACATTAAAGTGAAATTTGTGGTGCTGTGCTGTCTGTGCCTTTGCTGTCAGTCTTGATTATATTGAGCCTTGACAAGGCTGGTGATTTTCTAAGATGTTGCCACTAGTAACATTTATTGATTATATCTAGCCTTGACAAGGCTGGTTATTTTCTGAAACGTTGCCGCTGGTAGCATGCTGACAATAAATGCCGTCAATGCAGTACAGCACAATTATATGCCTCCAAATCTTAAGTTTTTGTTTTGAAATCGCAGGTTTTACTGTACAGTGTTGAGTTTGAAGTACCCTCCAGTGGCTGTGAACATTGAGGCAAGAAAGCAAGATGGCCGGATCCAAAACTAATTTTTTTGGGGGGGCGGTTGCAAATTATTTTTGGAAATTTATCTTGTAACCTGTTATAGCCTGTCTGAGGTGTAAAGCTTTCTTTAGGCCCTTTTTACATGCATTTTGAAGGTAGGGAAATGAAACGGACCAGTGTCTCACTGTTTTTTAAAAAAAATATTTCTCTTGGCTCCTTCTCGTAAGGGGCATGGCCCCTATTCCCCCCACCCCCGGATCTGCCCCTGAAAGGCAGAAGCGTATTGATGGGTTGTTGTGTTGTTTTGCAGTGCTGCAACCTTCGGTTTCATCTGAAATCCCTCAATAATGTGACTAAATCTCAGCATATCCGGTCATGCCACAGTGCTTCATATTGTGTAGATTTCAGTTCAGGTTATTGTTTGGCCAGTTCATGCCGTTTCATGGCAATTAGATGGTCACCGGTTCAACAGCAGACACTGTGCAACATGGGAATCTGTGGCGAATGATCCTCTTCGCTGTCTGTCTGTAAGCCAGGTTAAAGAGACAGTAGATGAACACATTGAAAGCGCTGTTGGAGACCGCTACCCACATGGTCAGAAACTCCAGCCAGTTTGGAGTGGTCAAGTTGGCCAAACCTTCCAGGGTTTTCATGAGAGTGAGGGGTGTGTAGCAAGCCGCAAACGTCACGGTCACCACCAGGAACGTCTTCAGGGCTTTGTGTTCCCGACCGTTGTTTCCGTCGATGTGTGGATTGTTGCGCAGCTCGTGCCGGCGACTGATCTGAATAATACGGAAGTAAACGCTCACCATAACAAGCACTGGAATTATGTCAAAGATGAGAAGTGCGGCCATGTTTATGGCGTCAGGATTGTTTCCAAAAAAACAAATGGCAGAGGCAGCGTAGTACTTAACCCGCACTCCATAAAGCTCTGAAGCTATTGAAGTACATACGGAGAGGATCCATAAAATGAGCACAAGAATGACTGCACGTCGCTTGGTGCACCAAACAGGAAACCTGTAGGGCCTTGCTATGGCAATGTACCGGTCAATGTTAAGACAACTGAGAGAAAATATGGACATAGTTAGGGTCACATTCAGACTGTAGGTCGCCAAGGCACATCCAGTCGTCCCAAACGGCCACCTGTCCAACGCCGAAGCGACGGTAGAAAGAAGCGACTGCACACCAACAAGCAGGTCGGACGCGGCCATAGTCATCATCAGAACCTTGGTGCTGTCGGCTAAGTTGGTCACACGACGCGTCACAGCGATGGAGAGAATATTGCCAGCAATGATCAGCATTGCTAGGATGAGGATGAAACAAGTCCGCAGGGCGACGACAAAAGGGGACAGGCCCAAGGAGTCAGTCAGTCCGTCAGCCATCCTGTAATTTCTTGAGTAGAGTGCTTTGTGACAAGCCTCTTCAGAGCTCTAGTTATCGTGCGACGACCCTTGTGGTGTATAGAAGAGATAAACCACAATCCTTGCTACAACCTGTAGGTGACTTTGAGGGGCAAGGGCTGTATGTTACAGGAGCATAATTTCCTAGGCTAAAACTTTACTCTGCAGCGCTTGTGTAATAATGCCAATCAGCCCCTCAGATTCTGTGTCATGATATTGCTTTCTGTTTGGCAACGAAGTGTAATCATCAGAACCGGGGTTGAAATTAACCTGCACTACAATTAGCTCTTGTCTTTAGTACCATCAGTTAAGCTCGCATCTCTGACATCCATCATCAAAGATGCCGGTCTCATTTCCTGCCGTGATTGATACTGCAATTAAGAGAGTCCATTAAAAATCCTATTAACCTGCATGATGTGATGACAGGTCGCCTCCCCCAACAATACTTGGGTTTCATCTAGATTATTTGCTGGTATATTGTAGCCAATATTTGTAGTTTATTAAAAATGGCTTTGATTCTCTCCTTCCGTCTTACTCATTCTCCCCCCAAGCTGTCACCTTTTATGTTAAAAATTATATGACCTGTTTTGCCATGAAGATCCCAAGTCCAATTTGTGATGCTGGAGTGCAAGTAAATAAACCGTCTATTGATCATCAGTCTTGATTATATCTAGCCCGTGCGAGGCTCCTTATTTTCTAAAACGTTGCCATTAGTGACCAGTAAATAACTGATACCGTCACAGCAGTAGGACGTGAATATCCACGTGTTGCTATGGACACATATCACTTCTTAATTGCTGAGCACGTATTCGCTGCGTACTTGCAGAGTAAATTTGTTGGCGATTCGTCAAGCTGTGTAATGAAAGCCAAGTGTGACTCACTGTCACAGTGATATCAGGTTTTATGGTTCAGCGTCAACTGCTGCTGATTTACAGAAATGCTAACATATGACCAATCACTTGATTTGGTATAAGTAAATCATTTTGTTTGGAGATTTTTCTAGTTGAGTTGTTTGCAAGAATTGTGCCTCAGGTTTTGTTTGTGCTATATTGGACTGAATTATGTAAGATTTGGGGTGTTGGTTTGTTTTGGTGTTTTTGACCTCCTGCTTTTGGATTTCAGAATGTTCAGTCAAATCAGGAGTCGGTGTTTGCACCAAGTGGAAATTTCGACCCTATTTTAAAAGAATTTTTAAGGGCCTGCACTAGTAAATTATCCAACAGCTTGGGTTGAATTCCAACCTTCAACTGCATGTGGTTTGATGTAGTTGGAAGTCTCACATGCATATACCTGCTCATGATTTGTGTATATTCATTTTAGTCTCTAAACCGAGGTGTCTATTAACATCTTGAATGTTACATAGGTGGGAATCGAACCCTGGGCCAACTAGTTTCCCAGAGTGATATTAGATTCTGGTCTTCTCTCCTCTCCCTCCTCAGGCCCTCGGACCGGCCATGAAGCGGCACTTTCCCAACACGCTGATCGATCCCATGAAGTTCTTCGTCTCTCGAGTCAAGACCAACCTCCACATTATTATCTGCGTTCCTCCCACGGACAAACTTCTGCGCATTGCCCCCAGGTAAGATGCGAAAGTCCAGGTGGTTCAAACAGAGATGGGGTCTTTGAATTTGTGTTTGTGGTACTTTGCAAGATGTCATGAAACATCTTTTTCTTTTGAAAAACAAGTTGTTACACTTAAATTGAATAGCAATAATTGATTTGATAGTCAAGTTGCAAACTGTGAATGACATATTGTGGAACAATATTACCCATGATCCCTTGCACCTGTAAGTTGAACAAAGGCACTGTGCTCACAACTTTTTGCAACTTGAATTAATTCCAGCTTGACAGCTGAGTAGTTTCCATGGTTACAAGATAGAGCCTTGGTGTAAGCAAGTGCAGCCACATTCCCGCTCCATGTAGCAGTTCTGTGCAATGAACAAAGTTTGTGAAAACTGCTCCGGTCACGTTCTAAAGGTAGTACTAAATTCCCTCTCTATTCAAAGCCTTGTCTGTTTGTTCTTGCAGCGAATACCCCGGCCTTGTGACAGGCATGCAGATGAACTGGATGTGCGACTGGTCCCATAGCGCCCTGCTCGGCGAGGCCACCTACTTCATACACAAGCACAGCCTGGCCAAAGACAGCACAGCAGAAACGCGGTCAGTAGACGGGACAGTAGTGGGGCTCTCTCTTGATAGAGCTACCCAGTTCAGTGATGAACTGGTAGTGGGCTTCTGACGACAAACTTGACTCACACACTGCTTCAGCACGTTTCTGTGCTTAGAAATTGGCCCCAGGCTTGTGCGAAAGATCTGTTCACAGAACGCTTAGTCTGGCCATGAAATCAAGGCTCCTCAAAAGTGCTCTGGGCACAGTAGCTTGCCAGCCTGAAGGAACGTGTAGAGAAGAGACAATGAAAACAGTTACATTTTTAGGGTTGGGAGGAAAACTCTAGAAGTTTATTCTGGATAAGATCTGTGTAGTTGAGTAGGGAGTGAAAACCCACATGTCGATCAAGGTGGGATTCGAACCCGGGCTGCAGAATTGAAAGGTGAGGAAAGAACCGCTGTGTCACTCTTGCATCATTCTAAATGGGTATCCAATTTCTTTCAACCGTCTAGGGAGAAACTGGTGTCCTGCTTGGCCAACATCCACAGCTTCATCCTGCACGACTGCAACCAGATCCCCTGGGCGGGGAGCACCAGCGACACCGTCCAGATCACCACCCTCAAGATTCACGGCAAGAAGGAGGCCATCAAAGTGCAGACGCTGGACGTGGCCAACCTGCCCTACACCAAGCTCATCATGAAGGAACGCATCAAGGTAAAAAAATAAACACCGTCGGGAACGCTGCTGTGATCCATTGCCTGCAGATGAGGGAAATCCCTCTGGCAGTGTCTAAATCAATTGGCTGTGGCTTGTAGTGATGTACGCATCTATGGGAAATCACTGCAGCCGCTAATCAGTGGTTCCCATAGGCACCTGTGTTATTTCTAGCCATAGCCACAGCCAAGAGAACTTTTGGATGTCTGATCTATGTAAACTCAGCAGGCCCCTGTATGTAAGCTGCTGTTGGGAGATGTTATCAAGGTCTGGTTTAGGGGATTTGCCCAGCTCCAAGACTGATCTCCCACACTGGCCGGAGGTTTGAGTTCAAGACTTTAGCACTCTGAATTTGAACCTGCTGACCTTGTGTGACTAATGCATATGTTCATGTATATGTTGCCATGTAGGAGGCCAAAATCTAGAACATTTCACGTAGTTCCACAGTCAATTTGGGAAAATAAGTCTGCCATCCAGGATGAAGCCCAGGTCCAATAAAGCCCAACTTAATGTTTGGAAAATATTCTTTGCTCGTTGTTAGCACATAATATCATGACGTACCTTAAACTCTGGAAGCCTGGTGACCATCTTTTACACATCCTTTCATCTCTCGTCACTTTCTCCAGTTACGTCACCGTGACCCCAAGATGCCCGGTAAGCACGAGCTCTTCATTGGTCCCCGCACCTTCCGACGGTTCTTGGACTGTTTCCGTTACATCTACAGCACCAAGGGAAAGGAGAACACGGCCAAAGTTGGACAGCTACGGTGAGCTAACCCCTGAGACTTTTGGATCACTCCCTTCATAAAAGAATTCTGATCAATAGAACAGCCACCACAGATGGCAGTATACTGCCCATAAAGTGCTGACTTATTCCCCTTAATGCACTTAGTGCGTGCAGTAGTGTGTTTGGGCAGCTATATGTCGGTAATTATTATCTACAGGGTAGTGGTGATACTTTGTTTTCAACGTCACTTACAGACTTATCTGAGAAGTGCACATACTTTTTGGTGAGTCAGTAAAGTGATGAGTTATAATTCTGGTTGTTGGATAAGTCGGTAATCTCCAGTTTCTTTCACAGCTTGGATGTCAGATTCATTTATATTGCGAGATATATCAAAACGAGCCCAAGGGTTTGAGCTTCCTGGTCTTTTGAATCATTGAGACCTGTGTCATTGCCATCCTCCTGATGCAGGAAAGCCCTGGCCTGCCTGGCCCGCACCCAGCAGGACACCCAGGCCAAGCGGCGGGACATCAAGCAGCTGCAGGCGGAGTATGAGGGGGCCAGCGGGCGGGTAGCCTCCCTGCTGGCTGCGCTGACCCAGCGGGCCACCCTTCTGGAGAAGACCAAGGCCCAGTTCGCTGGGGAGGCCGGCAACAGCCTGACCGCCTTCCTGCAGATGCATGAGGTGGAAAGCGAGGAGGAGACAGAGGATGAGCTGCTGGCTGCCGGTAAGTCCGTTGGCTCTTGCGCCTGACCAGTAGAGGGCGCTCGTGTGCATCTCCCTTGGGGTTCTCTTTGAACTGGTTATACACTGCTTTCTATTTTAAGTTTCATTTTTTTTCCCGAGAAACCGTTGAGGGTTATAAAAATGAAATTACTTTACACGGAACAGAGATGAACACCACATTTAATCTGATCTAAAAGGGTTTCTGCACAAGTGCTAGAGGGCGCTATGATTCATCTTCTGACCAAGAAATTGACAGAATGCAAAATCAAACTGGTGGTCTGATGTGGTTTACTTCAAGGATTTTTGAAGTTTAATAGGGTTTTAACAGGGTTTTAGGATACCTTTGAGTAATATCTCAAGCTTTATTTTGCATCCCTCTGTTTAAGTCATACATGTCTATGAGAAGTGGCGAGTGGTTTTCACAGACACATGGAATTTTTGTAGCCGCAGCCATAACATTTGGACATTGCGTTCATCTGAATGGCTTATGCTTCGCTGCCTCACACCATGACTACATGTGTTGGCGGAGGTTTCAAGGTTGAAGCCATGATAAATTGTTTTGGATGTTTTTTTGGCAGAGGAGAGGGACGAATATGACAAGGAGTTTGAGAGGATGCGGCAGGAGAACCTGCAGTCGCGCAAGATGGCAATTGAGGAGGACCTGGAGCTGGCTGTCAAGAAGGTAGCGGAGTGTCGGGGAGTCTTGCAAAAGGCTCGGGACCAGGTGGGTGTCAGCCAGAGATATCACAGCTCTGCCTAGCACAAAAAAACCCTACTTAGCCAAGTCAAATTGGCAGATGACATGTCACGTCGTGTGTATTGCTAGCAGGTGGTTCTCGACTGTTTTGTTGCTTAAAACACTCAAATTTGCTGAGCCATATTGTCTTCTTAGGAACTCTCTGAAATTGCTGCTTGTATTGGAGAATGGATTGAATTCATTGTTATTTTTTCACAGAGACAAACCATGTACTTTGCGACAGGATTGTCCAAACCGCACCCAAACAATATGAGAAGAAGTTCATTTTGTTCAAACTTGCATAACAATATCCCGGTGACCTGACGAGTATCTGTTTTTCTTCTCTCAAGGTTATCCACTGGCGCGAGAAGGTAGACCGGTCCTGCATCGAGCGGCTCCGTTCCTTTCAGAACCCGCCCCAGATAGTCCTACAGGTGATGGAGATGGTCATGGCCCTGTTGGGCAAGAACCGGCCCCTGGGCCAGAACCCCTCGGACCGGTCTGAGACCAAGATGCCCAACGAGGATGCCTCGGTGCTCTCCGGCCGGCACTCCTCCCTCTCTTCCCCAAGTCCCAAGAGCCCGACCAAGACCCACCGCACGCCCAGTGAGTACAAAGAACCTGTCTCTTCACATTGCAGATTATTAAAGTGACATGCCTGTGTGTTTCTTGACCTGTTCTCAGCACGCCTTGCTGATTTCTGTGTTGAAATTTTCTGTTTTTTTTGGTTTGGAGCCAGGCAAATTCCATCCCATGCTCAGAACACGAGTGACTTTCCTCACTGAGTTTGGCTTGTTTCTTGTTTCTCTTAGGTCGCACTCTCTTTAAAAGAATTATGATTTAGAAAATTGGAAAATAACTTGCATATGAGTGTTTTTGCATGTGTTATTTCCTACATTCCATTTATGGCAACAGAAGCACTAAATGATCTGTAGTAATTTTTAATTAGAGTGAAAAGCCGTTTTCTCTTATCAAGAAGCCAGTTTGAGTGATAAAGTTGACATCAGCGAGTAGCTCAGAATAATTTAGCTTTTATTTTTCTCTTGGTCATTGTTTGAGAGCTTTACCCTCAGGGACCCAATGACATGTACTTGATGAGAAATTGTGGTAAAATATCCTGCTGGAGAACACAATCATGATCAGACAGGTGTCGGGGGCACACGATGAACATTTTTAACAACATTTTTAACTTGGCATTCATCATGTCACATTGTCTACTTGTGATGATGTACATATGTCTGGCTCAAATATTGTGTTCATAATGTAGTTCTTGAAAAATGCCGTTTAAAGACGTAAGTCCCCTGTTCATTGGGCTAAAGCTTGATTTTCAGGACTAGGCTGCAATCCTCTTGTTAATTGACTAAAATTTGCCGAAGCAGTTGCCAAAAAGAGAGAACAGAAAACTTTGTTTTGTGTTCAGATGACCACAAAGTCATGACCCGAGTCTTGTTGTTACAGGGAAGACCCGGCCAGCTCCACCAAAGTATTTGGGCTACTCCTCAGGTAGAAAAACCCCATTGCCCCTCCCTCAGTCACATGATCATGTCAGGTGCCGCTTTTCACATGATCACATCAGGTGCTGCTTTCTCTGTTTGAATCACTTCCCAGTCATGAGTCAGTAACTGCTGTTATGATGCGTTGCCGGGTTTCATGGAGCTGCTCAGCAGAGACAACTTGCCCAGGCTGCGTCCGAATCACTTGGCTGCAGCTTGAAGTCACACATGACCCTATGGGAACTGGCTTCAGCCACTACTGTAGTCTAGTGTGTAATATCTAGCTACAGCCAAGTGACTCAAATGCGGTCTAAGTGCAGCACGTGTTTGGTTAGCATAGTGGCTTACCAGTTAACATGTTATGGCAAGTGTACAACCTTTTGACTGGTCATTCTTGTGCTGAACAAGCTGCCCGTGCAAATCCAAAACAGCATGAATGACAGCGATTCGGTGGAGAATTCAAACGTGAAGCAAAGAAACGCATTGGCTGTTTTCATTATCATATGCCCAGTCATCAGTGACCGCTGATTCCACACTGTCAATCATCGCAGTCCATTCCAGCTTCTCACAATTAAAACACGAAGAAGTTTCCCTAATGGTTTTGGAGATTCAGAGCATCTAGAATCCACTTCGAGTAGAAGCACCCCTCATTGGTTGAAAAGAGCTGCGTTGGTCAGAATAGATTTGTTGGTAGTGGTGTGACTGCAATGCTTGCGTTTCTTAGTTGTTCGTGAACCAGCGATGTGCAGTACCAAAGGAGCCCCCATTGCTCAGGAAATAGCGCCCTCTCTTGGTCCCGCTCGAGGCCCATAGAGCATAAATTTTGTGTAATTACAAGCTGCATCCAACTCTAATGGCTGCGACAGGAAAAAAAATATGAACCCATGGTTGCCAATGGCTACTGGCTAGAGCCACTTCCAATAGACGTATGAGCCGTAGCCACATGATGCGGACACAGCCCTTTGTGCACATTCTGTTGCAAAATGGCTGTGCCTACAGCTCCCATGCAATGGTTGCGTGGATCCCTTACTCAAGATAATCATACATATGTCATTTATAATTCATCAGCACAATGCAAGTAATTTATCTACAGGAATAAAAGTTCGTTTGGTCAGTGACCCATCCTCATCTGCTGCTAAGGTGATTGCTTCTACCTGCCATGAAATATCCCTGCATGCTGAAAATGTATAATCTGTGTTATTCTCTAACGTATCTAAATAAAGGTACTTAATATAATCAAGCATTCCATTTAGTGCTTCAGTTTTATAGTCGGTTACCTTTTACCAAGGACCATTTGTAGATGTAGCATTTAATGCTGTAATTAATCAGCTGGAGTCAGGGCTGAACCTAAGGTCATAAAATTTACCGTCTCTTGCTTATCAATTGTTCAAAAGTCTAGAAAATTAGTTAGGTTAGATGGAATACACTGCCTGTAAGCCAAAGTAATTCATGCTTTAGTTAGCTGTGGTGTAATTTTTTGCTGAACGTAACTATTAAGTGCTTATTCTTACACACATCCGCTATGGACTGGATTCAGTTTTGCAGAGATGCTAAGCATGAAAACAATTATCAGCAAATTGCTTACAGAATTCAGTTGGGAACCATCCAGGAGGAGTAGCACTTAGCATGATGTTTGTGGTTGGTTACCTGGAATTCTTTTTACCGTATGTTTGTGCTTAGCAGGTGTACAAAACGGGCTCCAGTCCATTCACCAATTTGCATGACACTGCATGGCACGATATACTGTATTTTGACTCATTTTTCTTCGTCACTTTTATTTTATTTCCTCCGTCCTCATTCACTCTTGATTCACCCCCTGATCGTAATTTTCTTTCTGCGTTTGTTTTCCCTATCTTGTCTGATTCCCCTTTCCTGTTGTTGACACCCTCCCTATCTTGCCCTGTTTTCCCACACCTCGTGGGTTCCTTCACTTCCCGTTCCACTTCTCGTCTATCTACTTCTTTTTTACTACCCTGATGTTCCTTTTCTTTCGCCTTCCTTTTATTTTCCCCCTTTTTCCACGCTTTCCTCTGCCCCTCTCCATCTCCTGTGAATCTGTTCCTCTTTCTTCCTCCGCATCTCTCCATCTCATCTATCCTCTCCTCATTTTCCCCCTCCTGCCTGCACCGTCTCATGCACCGTGACACTGATACACCCTCCTGCATGAATTGCCTTGTCTCTCGTCACCACCAAGGAGAGAGTGTTGTCACCAAGTCCAGTAAGTCCAGTAATTTGCACTCCTCAAATTCACTGTCCATGTTTCCATGCTTTTTTTTTTGTCTTTAGCAATATAAAAATAGAAATACATCAAACACTCGATGTAACTTGGATACTTGCTCTGTCCTTTAATCTGAACATTGTCATTTATGGCACATCTGTGGAAAATGAGTTATCAAACCCCCCCCAAAATTGTTTGAAATGTCAGAGTGTCCAGAATATGTCCGAATCTAAATCGTGTATCTGGGACTCAGGCTGCATCCGAATCCGTTGTCTAGAGCTAGGTCTTGGTCTTCACTCCATTGAAAGTACGTGGAGACGCTCAGACAATAGACCTAGCCATAGCTCTGGAAGCCCGTTTCGGACACGGCCTATGTCTAGGTCTTTGCCTACTGTCAGCACATAGGCAGATGCTGACAGCAGACATAGCCATAGCCCTTGAGACCTATTTCAGACACAGCCTATCTGAGAGTTAGATCTCATTTCACCAACCGAGTCGTATACCGTGTGGAAACTATCAATTCTGTTCGAGTGATATATTTGAATTGTTCAACTTCATACTCGTTGCCGTTTAATCCTCAGTTTGTGGGATCAGGCTAGGGGTCACATATTTTGGAAAGGACTTTTCAACTAAAGAGCTTTGTAATTTTATTCCGCACATGATAATCAGGCTGCTGGTCATTTTAATGTGAAAAATCATAAATTGTCATCCACTGAAGTTTAAACTGAAGGTTTAGTGTTTTACTACGTGAAAGAGAGCTGTCAGCTTGTTGCTTGAATATCCAATTAGATTTGGTATATGGACCATTTTGAGAAGCTCAGCAAATTTCAGCCTTTCTGTACATGTATATTGTTTTTATGCCGTTTGCCTCACTTGGCCAATCAATTGACCAATCGCAGAGTCAAAGGACCAGCTGACCGACAAGCAGAAGTGGAAACAGATGCAAAACATCCTCAACGACTCCACCAAGTTTGTGGAGATCCTGCAAGGGGTGGACTGGGAGAACGGCTTGGACCCCAACATCCGCATGAATGTGGAGCACTACCTGCCCAAGCCTAAGGGGGATGGCGAAGGGGTGACGGGCGAGGGCTCACTCCTCGAAGTCCCAGGTAAGATTTGCATTCCTCCAAGGTGACTGTGTTTTCCTGAGGGGCTTGTTGGTCCTCAAGGTGTCAACTCCTCCTCAGTCAATCAACAGGCATCTGTCCATCTTAATTCCACTTACTCTACTTTTGATCTAACTTACTTCTATCCGCATCCACGATGCACAAAATACCGTGCAGCTTCCCTTGTTGAGATTTCCCTGGTAGTGCCAAAGTCGTGGCCTTAGGAGCGTCCTCACTTGATGGCATTCTGAGGACATAACTCATCCATGCCTTTCTCTTTGTCATTTGTCGTGCAGTCTGCACTGGATGGCATTCTGAGGATATGAGCAGTAAAGACCCAGTTCCTTCTTTGTCATCTAGTTCTTAATGGATGTCACTCAGAGAACTAATCCCCAACCCATGCCTGTCTCTTTCCCATGACGTTTTAAATGGCGATTAATAGCCAGTATTTTAGAATACGGATAGACGTCTTTCTTATTGGTGCTCTGACTGGCACAGTTGACCGTTGTATTCAAAATGATGGATAATTAAGTGTACGTGTAATCGATTTATCTACCTTCAGGAGGACCCAAGCTTCCTGCCTCCTCCCGCCGTAGCCCCTCCTCCCTGGAGTCGGGAGGCATCACCATAGCAGCCGTGCGCTACAGCTCAGAAGACGCCGGCAACCTAGTGGCCTACATCTGTTCCCTGGTGGAGTACTCGCATCAGTGCGGGCCCCTGCGAGCCGCCCTGGAGAAGCAGGCCGAGCTGGAGAAGGAGAAGATGGAGAACGAGCGCTTGCAGAAGGAGCAGGATGAAAGGGTGAGTAGATGCAACACATCAGAGGGAGTGTTGTCGCGAGACATGTTGGCAGTAATGCATGGAACTTCCTCTTTAAAAGCGCATCTGGTTCCTTCCATTTAGCCTTCTTCCACCCTCAGGCCTAGAAATATCTGATTTCAGACACCTCTTAGACACTGCAGCTTTGGTAAGGTCAATAATGACTTCTTTGTATTAGAAACACCTAGAAGAAAGTTTTATCTATGAATGGATCAGACACAGTATCTGTATTGGGTCTTGAAAAGTGACCCACAATGTCGTATTGGTGGCAGCTCTGTCCTTTTGATGTTAATATGTATTTGTAGCAAGTGTTGGTCACTCACAGAGTTCTGTGTCAGTGTCTTTGGACATATTCCAATCTCCACTTTTCATCATCTGCACATTTCTCATCTTCTCAATTAATATTCGTTGTTCAATGCACTGTCATCCTTTGGGGGAGTTTTCAACGCTTAAAGCACCCAAAATGTCAATTGTTTACCAACGCATATCATGCTTTTCTGTCGCAAATTTGTTACCGTTTATTTTAATTTTCCCTGAGGCAGACTATATGCCAAAAATTCATAATTCAGCTGAGAGAAATTTCAGAGTGCTGTTGACTGATTTTTGTAGAAAAACAGAATTTTGTAGAAAAACGGTTCCGCGCTGTTATATTGTCAATATTAAAAGTTAAAGAAAGCATTGTAGAAATGTCAAGCTGTGGAGGTTTTTTTTAACATTCTTTTTCCTGATTGTGTTTTCCATCCATCCTAACCTCACACTCGGTGTGTTTTGACTGTGACAATAAAACCAAGGCTGGGAATGCGGTAAGATGTTTGGATATGTGACCTTTCACCCCACCTCTGCTTTTATCTTGCCCCTCCCCCACCCTGTGCCCCATTCCAGTGTGTGCCACCTGTGCCTATATATACTCCTCTGTAATGAGTGCAATGCTGATCCATGCATGCTACCATACCTACAATCTCAATTAGTCCCTTTACCTTCCAGTTGTGTTGCCTCATACATATTCATGAACTTACCTACTGTCATCGGTCAGATGAACAATGCCAGTTATTTGAAACCTTTCAAATTCAAACCAAGAGGCGGACCCTACTCTGCCTTAAAACCATGGTTTTGCTTTTCGCACTAGGCCGCACGCAGCAGTTGAATAAACCTGAAAATTATACCTACAAGGGGAATCGATGAAAATTAAATTGGATTTGAACCTATAACACATGGACTAAAATACAAGTGCTCTGTCCAGAAGTACAGTGACATGTTCAGAATTGATTACCTTAGTGTTGATAGATAGCTCCATTTGTAGACTATCTGTATGGCCTTCTAGTGGTGAAAGGTTCAATTCCTGTTTCAGTCAGCCTTCCTGTTGAAGTTGGGTTGGCACGTCCAACCCAAGTAGAGCGGAGATGGTAGCCCAGAAGTCAGCATACTATACTTTGACAGCCTTGGAATTTATCAGGAATTCAGTACACAGTTGTCCTCCTGATGTTTATTGTTGGTCAAATCAACAAAGAAAACGAAGACTTGAAATTTTATTTGAATGAAAAGCGTCTACACCGTGGGAAGAGTAATTATACTTGGCTGTTTTCTTTCGTCATTTTCAGTGATGCGTGCGAAGTGTGTGGTTTTTAATTTTTTTTTTTTCTATTTGTGGACAGATTTCCATTGTATGTGTACGTGCATGAGCTGTGTCCATATAATTTGTGTTGTGGTGTTCGTAAACGTTTTTTATTTGGGGGGTGATGAAATGGTCCTAGTTGTATCATTCGGAGATCCCTGAATTTGGTAAGGTCCACTGCACTGCCCAATCCCACATTGGAATTAATTATCACTCATGGTTTGGTAGACCTGGCAGTGCTCAGTGCTTTGGTTTTATTCCCGCTTAAGCCAGTTACCGTGACGATGGCATTAACATGCCGATTGCTAAGCCAGGAGACTGCCGGATCCATAGGTTTTGCATGTACATGTACTTTAAGCTCTCAGCGTGGCGCCCACCCCAATAATGCAATTCTATGGACTGCTAGCACTGTTAGTAATCCGGAGAGCAGCCTGTCTATATGCAATGATCATTATCGTTAGAGGGTGCTGTATCAAATTACTTTCATTTTTTTTTTTTAGCCCGCTTCGCTCCGTAGGACCGTGGTGTGGGGGGGGTACTCGGCCAAGTTAATGCTGGCAGTCTGCTTAACACTGCATGCTTTAGCTCTAAGGAATTGACACGTGTGTTTTAACTATTGTCAATTTTGAATTTCAGCAAACTTCTTGACTTTACCTTTGTTGGTATTTTAAGAGTGAAAACAGCTTCCAATTCCAATTTTTGTTTTATCAAATTGCATGATCGTCCTGTGTACTGATTACTTAATCATGATGTATAAATAAAAACACTAATACTTTATCATTCATGTTGTTTTTTGGAGTGGTACAGATAATTTTTGGCGGAATGTTCACCTGTGTTAATATTTAATCTTATAAGTTTTTGTTCTTTGGAAGCTGCAACAGCAAACAAACAAGTTGCAAACAAAATGAGAATGTGCAAGCAGAAGCATTATATATCACAAATTTTAATGAAAGGCACTTTCAAAATTTACAAATTTTCTTTAAGGTTTTGTGTGCTATATACTTGGTTAAACTTCTTTCCCAAACAAGTTTTTCAACTGCAGAGTTTGTTTGAAGTGTAATGAAACACAAATTTTTCTTTTTACTTTCATACTTCTCCAAAAATTCCTTAAAAAAAGCATCCTTTATCACATACCAAATGAAGCATGAAATACTCCATACCTCCTCTGTGAAGCCTCATGCAAACCTCACCCAGTAAACCCGAACCTCACACCAAAAAATCTCACCATGACCAACCCTCCTCATTGCACCCAGGAGGCCCGTGAGGCACTGGCCCGGGAGGAGCAGGCCGAGGAAGAGGAGGAGCCAGTCTACACAGAGGCGGACATTCCGGCCCTTCAACAGGCTGTCACCGAGCTGCAGAAGGAGTTTGACGCAGCCGTGGTGGTCAAGCATGCCCTGGAGAGCGAGCTGCAGGCCAGTAATGAGAGACTCAAGGCTGCCACCAACATGATTAGGAGGTCAGATCAGTGAACCTTAGTCAACCACTTGCCAATCATGCCTGGTAGTCATGATATGTTTTATGCAGGGAAAATTGACCCATGCTCAACAAACATTTGGGCAGTGAGTGACAACTTGATGCCAAGCTCTGCTAGGTTTTGCTGGGTACCCATATATTTTATGCACAGGTCACCAGGAAAAATCGATCATTGGTTGACAAATGGTTACCATTCTAGCTTGCCATTTGCTGATCCAACTGGACCTCTTACATATAAACTTCTCCATGGATATTTTCATTATTCTCTCCAAACCAACTTTCACCACACAGTTTATATTACCAACCTTCAACTTTTAGGCACTATTAATAATATAATTAAAATAATATCTATAATTATTATAATGTATTATTATAATGTAATAAATATTAAAATAATATTTATGTTTTTTATAATTTCTTGGGATTCTCCAATTAGCTTGCAGCAGGAGCTGAAGCGTTGGCAAGCCTACGTTGACGACAACGCCATCAACGAGTGGCTGCTGAGCACCTGCGTCTCGGCAGCAGCCTTCCTGACCTACTGCGGTGGCATGGACCCGGACTCGCGCCACCGGCTGGCGGAGTACTTCAACGTGATGTGCGGGCACCACGGGCTGCCTGTGCCCAAGAAGAAGCTGTTTGCTGACGTCCCGCTGATCCAGTTCCTCTACTCCCAGGTGGGTGGCCTAGCAGAGGTGAAGGGAGCCCAGTATTGTAGCTTTGCTGAGTAAAGAAGTTTTTATTATCACCATTCAGGGCTTTGAGAATGGAGTCCTAAGTTACCTGATGTGCGCAGTTAGATGTGCTAGATTACCATGCTAACTTGTGAAGTGTCCCTCACCGCTCACACAGAGTGCACTGCCGTAGTTAACAAAGATTACACGTTTTTGTAATCAGGACTGCTGAGAAGCTCTGTAAAGTAATGCTTTCTCAAGTGGTGTGATTTAATAAAATTTTCAATTTTACATCGGAAAATAGGTGAAATGCTGTAACTGGCAAGCCCCTTGCAACAAAATGTATAGATTATTAAATGGTAGTTCCTATGTTCCGAGTAGTGTATCTGAGATTCTAGAGATGGTCTTGAAATCCTCTCTAGCCCATTTCATCCTGACTTCTCCACTAGGACTTGACTGAGTAGATTTTCTTTCAAACTCTCTCTAATCCCTTTCGTCATAATCCCTCCTCTTCTTCATCCCCCCAAGGTTGACATCGAGTCGCTGCGTATCCTGAACCTCCCCTCCACTCCAAACTCCCTCAACAATGCTTGCTTCATCCTCCAAGAGCTGAGCAGCTCGGCCTGGACGCTGCTCTGCGACCCGACCAGCCGCGTCATCGACTGGCTCAAGTGCTACCTGAGTGGCAGGGTCTTGCTGGTCAAGTATCATGTAAGTTCTGGAGCTGCCAAGCTTCAAACTTGTACTGAGCACAGATCAGCTTTTTTTGACAATTTGGAACAGTGTACGGCAAATGCTGAAAACTTGGGTAAATTTAAAGTGTGTTTATATTTGGTTTGGGGAACTCTGAGCTTTTAGAATATTTTGGACAATTTGGGGAAGTTGGAGTATACTTATCAATGAAGTCTGTATCAATGAATTTTTGAGGAGTGTTTATGAAACGGGAGAAAGACAGCTTTTTGGTAAGTAGGGTCTAGGTGAAGTTTTGAGGGTGTAGAGAACTCCAGCCTTCTAGAAATGCCCTTGACAGTAAATAAATCTTAAGAACCAGGACCCAGGTAGGTCAGATAAGTACTGTTTTTGAGAATCAATCCAATCCTCCTGCTTAAACTTTAAGTGATTCTCAACACTACCCTCTGCGTGTCTTTCCTGTAGGAGCTACGATCCCAGCTGGAGACGTGTCTGACGGAAGGCACCCCTCTAGTCATCATGGACTGCGATGCCAAGACCCTGGCCCATGACCAGCGCTTCACTCGCCTGCTGCGGGGCCGCATGGCCTTCATGAATGCCAAGGCTCCCTTCAAGATGATGGTGAGCCCGGCATCTGTCAAGTTTCGTGTTGAGATATGGAGGAAGAAAAGTTGACCCTTCATCAGTGTGCATTATTTATAGAATTTGACCTAAAGACAACTTGTCTCGTTTTAACAATTTTTTGGACACTACGTACCAAAGAGTTGACGGTTTCATCATCAAGAACTGTCATGGCCATAGGTTCATTCACTCACGGCAGGTGGGTGACACAAGAGAAAGCACTTTGACCTTGTAACTCAATTGTGCTAGCTGAAATGAGGCTTCGCATGTGAATGCTGACCAATGTTTACCTACGTGGTGCCTAGTTCGCCAGTATTTGAACAGTGGAAATGGCCATGCTCAGTGGGGAAAAAAATACAAATGAAAAGTCACCTTCCTAACATTAGAAGGCCATGGTGTGTGCACATCCCATAAAATCATTGATACCTATAGTTTTCTATTCTTATATGCCTTTGATACAGTTACTCATTCCTATACTTCTCCATTTCTGTACTTCATAAGTTCCCATACAATTCCTTATTCCAGTGTTTCTCCATTTATTCCCATG